ATTCAAACAAATTCTTCCTCTCTCGATTCTTGTTGTGAGGTATTTTATTACTGCAATCTGAAATGGAACTGGCACACTGGACATGCTGCAGTTTTTGGGCTCCATCTTCTATTAGTGGTCTGTGGGTTGTCCATCTCGCCCTACAGACAATGCCTCCAAGTACAGGACCCTACTATGCTCATTGCAGATCTAAACCGCCTCACACGGTGCTTGGCACACTGTTATTGACCTGCTCTTGCCCTGACTGGATTTTCCTTGACAAAATGGAGCCCTAATGAATGCCTCAAAATGCCTGATCAACTCGTCAATGAGCAGGAAGTTAAAATTAATCATATTTTCAGTTTTCTGGACACGAGACTACAAACTACAGATGAACCATCCTGGCAGAGCCTCTGCTGTGTGAAACAATTTGCCCATTTCATGTTTGAGACCTAAGTTTCCTCACCTGTAAAAACAAAGTTGGACTTAGGTAATCTTTGGGGTGTCTACTGTTTCTAAAATGGAAAAATCCTATTGTTGGGTATCATGAATGCAAGAAACTCACAGTGACTGGTTGGTTCCTCCAGGGATTGGCAACATGACCAGCTTACCTAACTCTCAGATAAATTATTTATGAGGTATGTCTAATAAAAATTTAAAGTCATCAGATGACTGTGAGTACTCTGGGATAATGGAGTGTTAACTGTGAGAAAATATGCCTCACTGGTTCCAACTACATGTCCCTTAAAAGCCTTAGAACTCACCACTCTTCTTGCTACTGGGCATCTGCAGTTGCTGTTCTTTCGGCCTTGAAGATTCTTTTCTTCTCTCCTCACTAGTGACATGAGCCTAAAAGTTACTTCCTTAAGGAGATCATCCATCTCTCCCAAGTCTGACCCTTCACCCTGAGGAAATTCTCAGCCATGGCACTCCATCTCCCTTCCTCACGGCATTGGCCAGACTTGAATGACCACTGTCTCCATCACTGTACCGTGTTCTCCACCAGGGAATATTATTGGGTTTGATCATTGTTATATTTGTCCTTGGCAGTGAGCCGAAGGTTACTGGATACAAAGAAGTCTCTAAGGGCTGCTCACGGGAAGTAAAGAGGCCAAGTGTTTTCCCATGGGAAAGGGGAGACTGCATACAGGCAGTGCGTCAGGTAAGTCCACTTAGCTGGAAACCTTGAGTTCGCCATATGTTTTTGGAAAAAGAATACAGAACAATATCACTCACTGGTGACCATGGAGGAGTAGTCTCTGAATGAGCAAAGTATGGCAAGAAGGGCGGCAGGAATATGACCAAAAAGTTCTGGGGAGGGCTCGGAGCCAAAATTTCCCGTGAAAGTTACTCACGTTCTGAGCCCCGCTGTAGCTGGGGCCCTTTCTGAATAACAGATAACAATATGTAGTCATCCTTCCTGTGCAGCAAGTGGACAAGAAATGAAGCTTCTCAGTAGAAAGACTGATGCCATTGGAAGACAAAGTGAGAACAGCGCTACCGAGTCTGACTCTCACCTTTCTCCAATGAGATTCTTCTGATGGTACGCAAAAGAAAAAACGCAAAAAAATGGAAAAACGCATCCTAAAACAGGTGAGGTAAGACTACAAAACTCTAGGCTCAAATAAAAGATATCTGGGGAGTTTGCACATCTGCTCATAAGAGATGGTGAGGAGAAAGGGAGGCCCAGGAGATGGGACCCAGAGACAATGACCCAGTTTTCCAGAAGGGGAGGACTGCAGCGCAGAATGACTCAGGCATGAAACAGCTGCTGTAGATCCAACACAGAACTGGTCTGCAAGCAAATTCCTCATGAATCTCTAGCCAAGGAAACAACGTTCCTCAGAGTGATCTCACCATGGGTTTGCTGAGCAAAGCCACACCCAGTTAAGTTCATATCACATAAGTATCTGAACCAACCAGGCCTCAATATCCCTCATCCTGCCCTTGAGAAAAGAGGTAGGCAATGTGTGAGAAGGTTATCTTTTATCTTCACAGAGAGTCCGCTGCTGTATTCAGGGCCTAGTTTAACAGAAACTTCTCCGTAGGGATAGAGCTGACATTCCTAAACTGTACGTTTAGGAAAGAGCTGGGAATATAGTTCTGTGTTAGAGGGCTTTCCCTTCTCTCTGAGATTCTTCTTGGTGAGGACTTGCCAATGGTATCATCTTTATGACTTGTTGAACAAGAAGCCACACATGCCTAGGAGGAAAAGCCTCCATAATCAACCAACTAACCAACCAACAACTTTATTTAGACAGCTCAGAGGAATCTTCTAGAGAGAGCATTTCAGTTCTTATAATACATCTTGGGACACACATGATAAACAGGGCTGTCTCAAGTTCCTAAGTTTCTTATTAGAGCCCTGAATGCATCTAATTTACACTCGCTATGACCCAGATGTGCCCTTGACTGTGCATGAACTGCAAGGACTTGACTTTCAGAGCCTCAGCCTTAAGACTCTGGTCCCAGTGAGGAGTCTGATGGAATTAAAGTAGCCCATGAAACAAATCTATAGAACCAAAACAGGACTTTAATCTATCCTGAGTATGAGTTCTCCTTTCAGACATATCAGACTATGAACATGGGGCTCTGAGTCCAAGAATAAGTGAAATAAATAAAAATCAGAATTGAACTGAAAAGTAGAATTGAGCCACAGATAGAAGAAATTGATAGGAAGCTTCCAGATGCGGATCGATACTGTCTCACTGGAAACCCCATCGACTGCAATGCCGATGCTCTATAGAACATCACTCACAAAGCAGACAGAGGTATGGCGCTCAACACAGAAAAGCAAGCTCACCCTTGCATCAATGCAGGGTTCTGAGGAAGGAACGGCCCTAAGGAGTCAGGCCATGTGAGCCTTTAAGCCTCACTTCTCTTCCTTCTGACCTCCTGCTACCCATACCTTCAGTTTCACTATTAAAAGTTACCCTGGCACCATAAGGAGAATAAGACACTGGCCCTCTGGTGGTATCTCCAATTTTCAAGTTTCTCCTGAACAGAGAAGGCAGCAGAACAGTTAGACAGGGTTTGAATTCCTAGTTCACTAGCCGTTAGCAGCCTGGTTAGTACATCTCTCTAAGAATTATTTATCTAATCGATGGTAATAACCATTATGTTAAGGAGAATTCAGGGGCAAATGTGGGTAAAGTGTTGATCTTGGAACATGTATACAAGTCAGTTGTGGGGCTGATAATAATTAGCCTGATTTACAACAGAAGTCATTCCAAGTAGGGAGGTCATTATTTTTTAAAAGTTAATGTGGGGAAAGTGTCTCTTTTGGGTAAGCCAGGTAGAGATGGGCAACTCATAGGTAGTAAATTTCAGACAGATAATTCTTTGTTTAGTACTTAGGATTATACCATAAAACATAGACTTATGCCTTACGGTGTAGGGTAAATAAAGCCAGTAGCAACAACTGGCTTTATTACCAGGGAAGAACAAGTGTATTGCTGGGTTCATTTCTGTTGCTGTGATAAAATGAACAAACACCAACTTAGGGGGTAAGAGTTATTTTAGCACACAGTGCTAGGTTGCAGTTCATCTCTTACTGTTCTGTTGCTGTGAAGAGACTCATAAGAAAGCATTCAATTGGGGACTTGTTTACAGTTTCAGAGGGTGAGTCCATGGCAGGGAGCCCGGTAGGCATGTTGCTAGAGCAGTATCTGAGAGCTTATATCCTGATCTAAAGACAGAGGGAGGGAGGGAGAGAAAGAGAAAGACACATACACACACACACACACACACACACACACACACACACACACACAGAGAGAGAGAGAGAGAGAGAGAGAGAGAGAGAAACAGAGACAGAGACAGAGACAGAGACAGACAGACAAAGAGACAGAGGCAGAGAGAGACAGAGACAGAGAGACAGAGACAGAGACCAGGTGTGGCCAGGTGTGGGTTTTCAAAGCCCACCCCCAGTGGCACATATCCTCCAACAATGCCACACCTCCAGTTTTTCCTAAGCAGTTCCATCAGCCAATCAGGAACCAAGCATTCAAATACATGAGTCCTTTGGGGGCTGTTCTCATTCAAAGCACCAGAGCAGGGAAGATGAGGTAGCAGGAACTTGAAAGATCTAATCCCTCACACCCACAGTCACGAGCAAGGGAAATGGATGCACACAGGTTAATCTGTGCTCACTTTCTCCTCTCCTGTTCCATCTGGGACTCAATTCAGAGAATAATGCTGCACATGTTCAGGCCAGGACTTCCCACAACAATGAATGGAACTGAGACACCTCCCCACAGACATGCCCAAGGCTAACCCAAACTACACAATGTTTCATTGATTACAGGCTGATCATAAAAACTAGCCATCACATGTGGTAACTAGGGTATAATATAATTTACAGAGTGGCAGGACTCTGGCCACTTGTCAACATGAACACACCCGTACCCTCGCTAGCCATTCCGTTCACACATGGTCTGCCATCTCTCTGATGAATGCTTCACCAGATACCCACTGAGAACACCAATTGGATTTTGAGTCTATTCAAATTACAGCCTATTAAGATCAAAAGATTGTGTCTTGACTTGTAATCAACTACTGTCGTGAGGCTACACATGAGAAACACTGTCAACCCCATTCCTAGGCATAGCTGAGGCCTGGCAAACTTGCCTCATCTGACCTTACTGCCATTACAACTACTACCAGCAACAGTCAAGACACAGACCTTGGCTCAGCTGCCAGCTCTGAAAACAGAGTCCAGCACATTAACTGACTCACTTCAAATGTTAGAATGGGAAGAGAAGAACAGTAATGAATCCAGCACTTTCCAGGGCTTGGCTACCACAGCAAATGCTGGCTGAACCAATCCATAAATATTAATCTCTCTGGAATCTAAACAGACTGTACATTTTAGTTTGGAGACAAGAGCTCGTCTCTGTGTTAACTCTAATAAATACTTGGGCCTTCTGTGAATTTCACTGCTAAAGACTTCAGTCAATGATCATAAGGAAGGGAAGCCTGGACTAAGTGAGGGACCAGGCAGGGGGAGGACTGAAACTCACCTGTAGATGATGCCTTTCTCATGGAGGAACATGAGAGCGGAAATGATCTCTGCGGCGTAGAAACGAGCTCGGGCTTCATCAAAGCGACGGGACTTTTGGATGTGGAACATCAGGTCGCCTCCGTTCACAAACTCCATGACGAAGAACAGACGGTCCTGAATGAAACGTGTGGGAACGGATTAGCCTCCCATTGCCCATCGGCTTCACCTCCCTCGAAGAGACTATACCAAGAAGCATGCAGACTGCTGTCTGGGAGCAGAGGTTGGCCCCTGTGGGGTCAGGTCTGTGATCTCTTAGGGAAGAGTGGCATGGAACTCTCCTTTGGGTAGTTCCAGACAACTTTGACTTTCTACATCACTAACCATAGGGAAGGCATCAGGAGACCTTGGTTCTCATTCCAGCCCGACACTTTAAGGGGAGAGAGCATGGGTGTTAAGTCCTAGGCAAATGTCTTCAGTGGAGCACACGGGTGAATCCCAGAGTAGAGGACACTGGCGAGGGCCCTCCATTCCTCACAAACGAGCAGAAAACATAGAACAGGTAAACCACTGTAGAGAACTCAGACAAATGGAAGCTCAGTTGACAGCGTCTGGTAGAAAGTACTCTGATCCATCAAAAGGCCATGAGTTAGAAGTGGATATAAAGCACACCAGCAGCCTCTGCCTGCAGTGACTCTCACTGGGCAGGGAAAACGGACTCCTAACACGCTCCCTCTGCAGAAACCTCCAGACCATGCGAGCAGGACCATGCGAGCAGTGCACCAAGAACTTGTGGATGGTCAGACTGGTTAAAGGCAGAAAAGTCCATCCACAAGCCACTGCCCTGAGACTCACTGGGTAAAGGCTTGTGTTTACAGACCTCTAGCATCAATGGATTGCCTCACTTCCTTCCCTGAGCAGTGAATGGGGTGCTGGGGACCCAACAAAGAGGCCCCCACACAGAGAAGGATTGGCTCCCATCCTAGAAAAGGCTAGTGCACGGAACATGGGTTCTTAAAATATAAACAGCAAATCTAAACATTCTGGTAAAGCCACAAAGAGAGCGGTAGAGGAACTGGGACACTGACACCTGCATGGGGCTTAGGGAGGTACCTGACCTCTGTGAGTCAAGGCCTGCAGGTGAGGGCCATCCCTCATTGTCAGCACTGCCCTTTCTGGGGGCGGGAATGTGTGTGGTCACTGTGTGGGCAAACTTGCGTTTTATCAAAGGCTGCATGCAAGCAAGAACCCGCCTTTACTTAGAGTTTGAAATGTTACCAATTTTGCTAGAGGGAATGGGAGGGTGGCTGGGCTGAGCAACGGCGGGGAGTCTGGCTTTGGCTCACTTTCCAGTGCATCGCTGCTGCATTATCAGGCTGATCTCTATCAGGGCAGTGCAACCCGTGACACCTCCTACTTCCTCTAGTAATAGGAAAGTAAAACCTCAACGGAAGGGGAGGGAATCTACCCTGTATATATATCCTTCAGAGTCAGTGCTGTTCTTTCTGGGGGTGGGAATGTGAGTGGTCACTGTGTGGGCAAACTGACATTTTATCAAAGGATGAACCCACCTTTCCTTGGAGTTTGGTATATAATATACAATATATGCTAGAAAATAGTGTGTGTGTGTGTGTGTGTGTGTGTGTGTGTGTGTGTATTATAAAGCTAGGAGCATAAACATATTTAATAGGGAAAACAAAATGGCAAAGTTAATAAAAACAAAAGACTATCACCAACTCAACTCTTCAGGTCGCCCCATAGCCCAAGGGCAAACTATACAAACATAGCAAGCTGTGTGACTAAGCTAAAGGCCCTCATCTGAGTTCAACTGGCAAAGGGAGGAGAAGAATTGGGTGGATGGGTTCACATGAGCAATAGCTGGCCTATATTCCATGGGCAGGAGTCTGGTGGGTGTGGCTTATTAGCAAATGGCTTAGGTGGCAGGTTAGCATCCCAGGGACAACTAGCAAAGCAATCCATGCACAGGAAATTGTTACAGTCATGTAGAACTCATCTGGAGGGGTAGCCCCAGGGTGTGAGGAAGACCCGGATGGAAAAGCCACCTTGCAGCATCCATGAATAAGTAGCACAGCCTCATACTCCGTGAACCAGACTGTTCATCTTTTTCATGGATGTTCACCTTCATGGAAGCCGTCAGCCACTCAAATTCCCATTTAAGCGAACATCCCTTACTGGAAGTCAGACCATAGGTAAGTGGCCATTCTGAAGCTGCTTGTCAGTGTCCTTGGCAAGAGTTTTCAAGGTAGCAGTGGTCATGAGAGGACAAGGGCAGTTAGAAGGAAGTCTCTGCCACACACAGTATCTTTTTCATATCCCAAATTCTAAAAAGCCAAGCCCTGGTCTTAACTGCATGTGTGAAGGTAGAATATGCTGCCTTCAGGTCTTCTCTTCTCCATCTTGGCTCTGGCTACAGCCCTGGGGTGTGTGGGGGAGTCGGGGATGGGGGAGAGTGGAGAGGCAGATCTCGATCTACAGAATCTGTCACTTTCTCTTTTGCTGTATCTGGAGAGAGAGGGGATATTTGGATTTTAAACTAAGGATGTTTTGTTCAATGCTCTTCCTTCTTTCCATCCAGAGTCTCACTTCTATTATGGGCCTGGCACCAACCTAGAAAATGGGGTACCATTCACAGCCCCTCGGCTGCAATCAGCCCCTAAGTCGGGAAGAAACGAAAGCGTGGTTGAGGAGAGTCAACCAGGATGAAATGAAGTCAAGATGTAGCTTATGAAAGTCACATGACAAGGGACAAGCTAAAATCATGTTTATCAACCAGCAACATGTTTTATTTTTTTAAATGCAAAGAAACTTCTAGAGACTTGAACTTTCATTGACCCTATTCTAAAGTGTCTGCTAAAGAGGGTGTCTTAGTTTGGGTTTTATTGCTGTGAACAGACACCATGACCAAGGCAACTCTTATAAAGGGCAACATTTAATTGGGGCTGACTTACAGTTTCAGAGGTTTAGTTCAGTATCATTATGGAGTGAAGCATGGCAGGGATGGTCCTGGAGAAGGAGCTGGGAATTCTCCATCTTGGCAGCTAGGAGGAGTGCCTCAAAGCCCTCCTCCTAATGGTTACTTGCCCAGTCCACACTACTGTGAAATAAGATGAAGCCCTTTGGGGGAAACCTGCCTTATTAAGGAGGGACTGTGTAATGGATTAAGGTGGCTGTGAGCCACATTTAGGGCAGAGAGGGCTCTGCTAATCTTACCTTGGCAGACACAGCCAGGGGATTCTCTCTGTACTTAAAATCTGTATACACAGATGTTTCAGGATTCTTAACATCCAGTTCCCTAGAAGCTGAGCCCAAGTATCTGCTGGGCGTTGCCTGTGGCTTTGGCTCTTTTAAGGCAGCTTTGCCCTGACCTGTGTGGTAGGAAACCCAATGTCCAGGAGACTGGTTGAGCTTCAGCTTCAAAGCCAAACCCTTTGTCTATCTGGCGTGCCTCTCTCTGGTCTCTGATTCAACTAACCACAAGTGCAAGCCATCAGCCTGGGATGATGAACACCTGAGGGAATAAAAGCAACTCAGAAATCCCTCTGTCCCCACACCCTGTATTAGTTACAGGCACGGAGTTCAAGGAGCTGGTGCGCAGCAATAATAAAATTCCTGTCGTCACCTGCCCTGGTTCCTTTAACCCACTGAGGCCTGTGCCAGCTTTCTGCCCTGACTCTCTGGCAACAGGAGGTAAACATATCCCCTGAGCGGGAACCACTCCTCAACGTTCTCATCACAGCTTGCTCCTAGGAGTTGAAACTGACAAGGCAGCTAGATGGGGCAAAGCCTGGCTATGTAGCAGAGCTCTTCTAAGATGGGACAAGTGACAAAATGATTCTATGATTGCAAGGAGGCCACCTTCAGAGGTATCTGTTCAGGGCCATGCAGACAACTGCTGTGTCTCCAGCACATGACTGTTTGGAAACAGCCTATGTTTCCAGAGTGTCTTTCCCAGAACATTAAGACTGAGACAAAGAGTTTTAATTCAGTCTGAGCTGTGAGTGAGAACTGAGTGAAGTGACTCCGGAAGCTGAGGCTATCTCTGTGGCAGAAATACATGAAATTCCTTAGTGTAACAGAATGGTGGATGGATGGATGGATGGATGGATGGACAGACAGATGAGTCGATGGAAGGTTAACAATGAAGCATGACATTCAGAGTGGAGCAGACATGAGACCAGGGAGCGGGATTAGAAGACCTCGCCAGGGTCCCTTGTGTCTTTTCACTTTTACATCCCTCTGGGAGGTTCGGTCAATTCCTAGCCTCAGGTACCACGATGCCTCTTATATTTGTGAATCTTTATCTTTAGTTCTTTTCTTGTAGAGCCTCATGTAAGTTTTTTGTTACTTCCAGGAAATTTTTAAGTAAAATACATACAATTTTTTTAAGGCGTAAGGAGCTTCCTGATTTAAAATCTAGGACATCAATCATGGGATCATAAACAGAAGCAAAGGGCCTCAGAGTGCCAGGCCCTTTCAACAGAATCCTAACAAATGGAACTTATTAGGAAATGATGGAGACACTGTGCCCAGTACCAAGTCCTTGGTATCTGTGATAATGCCTGAGCTGTAAACCCAAAGTTCTCAATAGGCACAGGCAGCTTCTGCTGGACTTCCTTCAGATTTTCTCTCCCTTCCTTTCTCTTTTTTCCCTCCCTCTCTTTCTTTCCCTTTTCTCAACACACCTTGCAAAATGGGGGTGTCGAAATGACTAAAGTCAAGGTTCATAAGGACTAACTCTGTTAAGCCAAGAGTTTTGACCAGTATTTAGCCTTCAGAAAGTGCTCAAAACACGATAGCAATTATCACCATTGTCACTCCTTTTGCATAACTCTCCACTACAGCTTCGGACAACGTGGCCCTGTGACTACAACTGCAGCCTGTCCAACAGCTATCCATTATATACAACACACGCGGGCACACACACACACACAGTGGGGGGATAAGGAGAGAGAAAGACATACATACACAGACACACAGACACACACACATACACCCATGGGGTGGGCAAGAAGAGACACACAGACATAGACAGGCATACACAGAGACACACATGCACAGACACACACACACCCATGGGGTGGGCAAGGAGAGACAGACAGACATAGACAGGCACACACACACACATACACAGACACACTAACGCATGTATACACAGG